CGCGGCGCCACGATGACCACTACAAGGATCATTTTGAGAGGCTATGACGGACAGGCGCCGATGAAAACCAACAGGCTGGTCGGTTTAAAAACCGGAGGCTACTTTGGAAGGTTGGTATCGAGTCTTTGAGGGAGGATGCTGGTCAGGCTGAACAAGTGTGGTCTGATTTCCAGCATCGAAACCCCTCTCCCGTTTGAGACAAAAGCCGCGCGGGTAGTGGCTTGCCGGTATGTGGTTGATGAACACAACCATCACTCTGCAAACTTCAACTGCCAGCGTATCTCAATGGATTCGGGGGAAAAGTAGTCGATTAGCAGAGGCGCCGAGAGGGCCTATCCATGGCTCTAACCGCGGCAACGGGAAAGCTGTCGAGCTACATCCGGATTATAGAGCTAGCCTCCATGCAGGGTTGACACGAAGAGAATGTTATCGCCACTCTTGAGTTCATATGACTCCTCCCCTTCCAACTCCCAGTCAGCATCGTTAATAAGAACTAGGATTCCCGGCCGGCTGCCGTGACCCAACAGCCTGGTTAGCGGTGCTCGAGTGATGCCGAAACGGAAATGGCGGCTGCAAGGAAAAAAAACCGACTACCTGAAATGATGAGATACACCATGCTCTTACCCGAGTAGCCACTTGACCAATCTCTACTGGTTTGAGCGATGCTTTCGGCGCACGTTCACTTGGCAGCAGGCAACGTTGCGAGTGGAAAATGACTTCTCACAACAGAAAGGGGTGCGTGTTTTGAGAGGCCGCACGGGGATGAGACACAAAATTGCAAATTCACATACAGATGGTCGTCCAGTACAAAAAGTTCCTTGCGCGTGTCATTCATGACGTTCTGGCAAAGGTGATGGATCAAGAAGGCGATATTAGCCGGTTGCCCCCCCTTGTCCTTGACGGGAAGTCTGAGCGAATGGTGACGCTGGTCGGCAAAGAGCATCTCCAAGCCTCCTCTGTAGCCGACGTTGTTAGTCGGGTTCTAGCGTCATAATGGACGAAGGACTGGGACCAGGGGACGCATAGATCTCAACGGTGATGGCTGCCCTTGAGATGGCGATTGGGCGTATGGGGATGTCGCGAAGACCAGGCCAGGTCCCTGACTCGTGAACATCGTTGGCTGTCCAGCTGAATGTGCGACAAAATAACTCGGGAAGTGCGAGCGAAGTGGACTTACGAGAATTCAACGGCTACAGTAAGTTGCCCGTCGGGGCACGCGATTTCCGCTGCGGCCATTCTTCTTGGTATGTGTACGATTGTGTGAAAAGCCAGAGGCACAGTACTCCGTGAAGTAGAAAGTTACAATTTGCGATGATGGATTTGCGCGCGGAGGCAGGAAGTGAATCTTAGCATATTACTATGGCTGCATGTGCAAGACTTTGTTAGTGCGAAATCGATTCTTATCGATAAGCACCTTGCTCCTCCACAACGTCCATTCAAGCCTGCGTAGCCAATCAGATCTCTCGACGGACACAATTTTCAGACTCACCTCGAATGCTCTCTCGTAGACGCCTGTCGACATGGCCGCTGAAGGGCTGTCAGTAGAGTACCTGTCTGCCGGTGCTAACAGGCAGACTTCGGTTGCAGACTGGAGCAAGACTGGCTTGTTGGCTTTTGGAGCCGATGTGAATATTGCCCTCTGGCGCCCGGCCGTGAGTTCTTGACCCTTGCCAAACCCTGCGATTCGCATTTGATGTCTAACAAACTGCATTTCCAAAGGCTCATCCGCCTCGCGGTATTGAGCATATTCTTAGTGGCCACAAAGAAACAGTCAAAGCAGTAGTATTTCTGCCTGAAAACGACGAGGATGGCTCGAGCTACATCGCGTCAGGCTCTGATGACAAGACTCTCATCTTCTGGAAGTCAACGGGTCATGGCCACAACTTTGAAGCTGTCCAGTCGTCCTCCGAACATACCGCTCCTGTAAATTGCGTCGCTGCCGTGAGGATTGCTGGCGAACCGGCCAAATGGATTGTCGCAACGGGAGCTGCGGACGCAACAATCAAGATCTGGTCTTTTGAGGATGACCAACTGCAACTTCTCCAATCCATCAAGACAACGCCGAAATTCTTTCCTTTAACTCTCTCTTTGGGTATTATTGACGGCGACGTGCTCATTCTAGCGGCTGCTGGCACGCGCGAGACCGTCCAGATCCTCACGGCTGATCTCAATACTCCAAGCATAGACTTTAGTGTGCAAGCGACCCTGTCTGGACACGAAGGCTGGGTACGCTCGTTGAGTTTTACAAAAGAGACAAACGAAGCTGGTAGCGATCTTCTTCTGGCATCAGCCAGCCAAGACAAGTACATTCGTATTTGGAGAATTCACCAAGGACAAGAGCTACCGGCTCTAGCAGCAGCCGGGTCAGATCCTCTCAGCGGTGCGTTTCTTCCTGGGAAATCTCCGTCAAATAAGGCACACCATTTGAAAGCCGCAAGCAAAGACTTTTCCGTGACCTTCGAAGCATTGCTGCTAGGCCACGAAGATTGGATTTATAGCGCAAGATGGAAAACGCGTGCCGACGGCAAGCTGCAACTTCTCTCAACCTCTGCCGACAACTCTTTGGCAATTTGGGAAGCTGATCCCGCCTCTGGCATCTGGGTTAGCATGGCAAGGCTGGGCGAGATCAGCAGAGAAAAGGGGGCCACGACAGCAACTGGCAGTACTGGCGGTTTCTGGACTGGGCTGTGGTCGCCGCTCGGCGACTCTGTTGCTTGTCTTGGAAGGACAGGAAGCTGGAGACGCTGGGAACACGATTCCTCAACCGATACGTGGAATCCATGTGTCGCCATTACTGGTCACACCAAAGCAGTGACTGGCATTACTTGGGCCAAGGGCGGCGACTATCTCCTATCAACAAGCTCTGATCAGACATCACGATTGCATACCAGATGGACGGCATCTGGCGCTGGCACGTGGCATGAAATGTCTCGGCCGCAAATTCACGGATACGACTTGAACTGCATTGACTCACTGGGGGACTCTCAATTTGTCTCTGGTGCTGATGAGAAGCTCATGAGAGTGTTCAGCGAGCCCAAGGCAGTTGCGACACTACTCAACAATCTTGCAGGCTTCGGCCATGAGAATGTGGAAGACATGCCAGATGCGGCTAATATGCCTGTTCTTGGTCTTTCCAACAAGGCCATTGATGCGGTGGATGATGACCAAGAGATCCAACCCATCGATGACCGCGACCGAGAAGCGGTGGATCCTGCCTCGGTGGTCAAGAAGTCATACCTGGAAATCGACCACCCGCCATTCGAAGAAACCCTTTCAAGACACACTCTGTGGCCAGAGGTTGAGAAGCTATATGGCCACGGTTATGAAATCTCATGCCTTGCAACCAGCCATGATGGCAAACTCATTGCCAGCGCCTGCAAAGCCAGCTCTACCAACCATGCCGTGATTCGACTGTTTGAGACGGAGAAGTGGACAGAAATCCGACCACCGCTAGTAGCGCACTCTCTGACGGCCACTCGACTCAGGTTCTCAAGCGACGACAAGTACCTCCTCAGCGTCGGTCGCGACCGGCAGTGGGCTGTTTTTGAGAGAAATACTGGCATCGACGCCATGTACGAGCTGCTCCAGTCAAATCCCAAGGGCCATAGCAGAATGATTCTTGACGCTGCCTGGGCACCAACACAAGCGCCTCTCTTTGCCACGGCAGGCAGAGACAAGCAGGTTAGAATTTGGTCTTCACGGGTGGGAGAAGCCGGGAAGTTGCACTTTACTCAAACCGCCAGTCTTGCCTGCGGTGGTTCGGTCACATCTGTCGACTTCCTATCAACTATTGTCGGGGGAAAGCTGGTTTTGGCGGTCGGCACGGAAGCGGGCCAAGTCAGCATCTGCTTAGTGAATGAAGATGGCTTGGCAGTCACTGAATTGCCATCACAACCAGAGTAAGTTGATAACGGGACAAGCACTTCATCCAACAGCTGAATCCCATGACTAACGTGATGTAGGTTGAGTCTCCCCAAGACAATTCTTCAATTGGCCTGGAAACCAATCCGCAAACCCGACGAGTCTGGCTACACACTAGCAGTGGCTGGCGATGATAGCTCTCTGAGGCTGATTTCGTTCAATGAATCCTATTTATGAATACAATGAATAGACTGAAATAAAAACACAGTTGCAAAAGAAAGGGTATGCGTTTTCATCCAAGTGTTGCCAACTCTGACGCAATGCAAGTACAAGTCTATCTTGCGCCTTACATGATTAATACGCCAGTGGCAGTTTAGTGCGTACCTTTGTCTGGTGTTGGCATCTCTTATTCACTGTTGGGATCCCTGTGATAGTTTGCATTATTAACAGCGTGAGTGAGCGATGCGCCCTTCCTATACTTGCCAGCCATACGAGGTCAAGCATACCAATACTCTTGTCTTGCAGTGTTGCATGATGATGCACGAACGGCAATACACCACCGTCCTGCTGCTTGGCCGAGTTCACAAAAGATGGTGCCAACCTCACGGAACGACGATGCTTCATCTTGTGCAGCAATGTGACAAATGCTCCTGCGCCAGGCTAGACAATCGGAATAGTCAAGGGCCATTACAGCGACATTTTTCAAGGTAATGTAAATGCGTGACGTTGGCAGGCCCTGCGTTAACATGCGACAGGCGTCATCTCTGCGGGCGAGACGCTTCATCTCCAATCCCCTGGGATGCAGCGGTGTACATGGTCACAGTAGAGGCAAACCACCTGTCTGGAGTATCTACTCTGCTGGTACCAGGCACACCCTTCCAATCGCTCGAAACGGGCTTTACGGCCGCCATTGAGCTCATCAAGCCTGTGCGAATTATGCGCTGGCTCCGCTAACTCCGGGAGCCGGACCCTGCACAATACCCTCCCAACCGGGAAATCCACCATGTGCAGTGGTGCCAAAATAGCCACGAGCCGGTACAAATCTCCTTTATAAGAGCGGTACATGAAACTGCCACCAGCACGTCTTCAAGTTGTATGCACTTCTCATTCCATCCCATCCATTTGCGACATCTACAGCCATGTCCTTCCCCGGCTTCTTATACAGCCAGCTCATCCAACGGCTGCCCTACCCATCCGGCTCGCACGCAGGCCAGACCGTCATCGTCACAGGCAGCAACGTCGGCCTGGGTAAAGAAGCAGCGCGCCACTTTGCCCGGCTCCACGCCAAAAAGGTGATACTCGCGGTGCGCAGCCTCGAAAAGGGCCAGGCCGCCAAGCAAGACATCGAGAGCAGCCTACGCGATGCCGGCGGCGCAGGCAGCACGACCGAGGTGCACGTCTGGCCGCTCGACATGGCCAGCTACGCCTCTGTCGAGGCCTTCGCCGCCCGCGTCAACTCGGAGCTGAGCCGGCTCGACGTCCTCGTCGCCAACGCGGGCATCGCATCGGGCAGCTACCACACCGCCGAGGGCAACGAGAGCATGGTGACGGTCAACGTCGTGTCGACCTTTTTGCTCGCCGCCCTGGTCCTCCCCAAGATGAAGGAGTCGGCGAGGCAGTTCGGTACCAGGCCTACCCTGACAATCACCTCGTCGGGCGTGCATGCCGAGGCCGCGGACCTCGTTGCGCGGGCCGCCGCCGCGGGGGAGCTGTGGCCCCTCGTCAACGACCGGCAGACGGTCGAGGCGCACTTTGCCGCGCAGTACCCTGCGTCCAAGCTGCTCGAGATATTTGGCGTCAGGGCCATAGGCGAGCAGAGCCCCGCGGCTGGGTTCCCCGTCACTATTAACTGTGTCAACCCGGGGCTATGTCACTCGGAGCTGGGGCGTGATTATCCCTCCTGGGGGTTTTGGCTGCTGAAGCTGCTTCTGGCGCGCTCGACTGAGGTTGGGAGTAGGAATCTGGTGGCTGCGGGTGCCATGGGCCAAGAGTCCCACGGCAAGTATGTGTCGGACTGTGTGGTCGCTGAGCCGTCGGCGTTTTTGGACAGTGAGGACGGACGCAAGGTGCAGAAGATGTTTTGGAAGGAATTGACGCAGAAGCTGGACGAGATTAAGCCTGGCGCTTCGGGGAACTTTTTGTAATGGTGTCGAAATAGTCTTTTAAACCTGTAATACGTCCACGAGGTCATCAGTCGATTCAAAGTCATAGGCTTGATACAGGGCTGGTTACATGTTGGCAAATCCGCCTTGCTATTGGAGTCCTGATTTCTCGACAAGATCTCCATTACTCAGGAGTTTTTTCGCTTATTCTTCGACAGCGAAGGAGTTGCAGATGAGGCCTGGGAGCAGATACCAGGACGCACTGCATGGCTGGTAGGAAATGCGAAGGAATACACATCCAATCAAGTCGAGCCTATATTGTGTGAGGTGATTTTTACGTCCAGATACAGCAACACAGCCGCGCGTCCGGAGAAGGAACTCAAACATAAGGAATCAAGCACGTTCTATGGCTCCTCGTCATGTGGACGTCCTCGGTCTGGTCTATCTACCGCTCCATGGGATCAACTTTCCTCTTTCCCTTCTCTTAACAGTACATCCTTTGGCATTGTGAATTACTCCGAAGACGAGGAACCAAACACAGTCGAGGGCTTCTCGCCATATGGACCTCCTGCGTCTGGTCCATCTACCGCTCCATATGGTCAACCTTCCCCTTTGCCTTCTATCAACAATACATCCTTTGGCATTGTGAATCCCTCCGAAGACGAGGGACCAAACACAGTCGAGGGCTCCTCGTCATGTGGACCTCCTGCGTCTGGTCCATCTACCGCTCCACCTGGTCAACTTTCCCCTTTGCCTTCTATCAACAATACATCCTTTGGCATTGCGCATCACTCCGAAGACGAGGAATCAAGCACTTCTAGTCGTCCCAATCCTGGGGGACCAAACAGAGTCTATGGGTTTGATCAGATTCCTTTTTCATCTATTTCACTTCCCTTGGCATTTACTCATCCCTCTGCATGTGATCTTCCCACTCCATTTGCTGCTGTACCCTCTTCCACTTCTCCCGGCGTTTCATCCTATGCCGATACGGAGAAAGCCAAAGAGGAGCGATCAAGCGCTTCCAATCGTTCCGAACGTCCCTGGGTTAAATTTAGTGTTCCCATGGATGGGGAGCCGCTGGTGGATGATGACGGCGTTGTCTTTGAAACGCCCGGCTTCCGAAACCGCGGAGCAGCCTAGAGGAATAAGTGTGATGGGGAGGAAGAAACGTAAAGCCACAACGACAGTGGGTGGCTTTCGAGAGTAGGTTTTACCCCAGCTAGGCAGCTAGTATGGTTTTCCCCTACGGATGAGGAGGGCAAGGACCGGTTTTAGTCTTTGAATACAACGCCTATATTGATATTGCTATGCATCGTGCTCGTTGTCGTTGTAGTACGGCCCGGGTAGAGTGTGTTGACGGCCCGCCGTATAGTTGATGTTGCCATCTGTTTTGCCATCCAGCTACCTGATAGCATTTTGGCCTTTGTAATAAAAAATAATGCCAAGCAAGTACAGTCGTAGCAAGACGCCGGAATGAGCCGGCATGCCTCTTCCAACCTCGAATGCAGTGGGCGGAAAAGTCCGTCCCGGGACTCGCATATGGCCAAGGACAAATTCGTATGATATGGGTATGAAGAGGCTGCTTTAGCTGATTATTTTGAATATTTGGGGAGGCATTTTTCCCAACGATTCTCGCGATACTAGGATGATATATAAACCTAGAATAGTCTGTCACAAGTTAAGGTGTGAGGCTACAGCATAAACAGCCAGGTTAGTAGCACAATGAGCATGACTCGAATTATACATACTCCTACACAAGTGACAGGAATCCCTATACAATGCCGTGTGTATAATTAGTTTCCCCTGCTCACGGAGCCCAACACTTGACGCAGCTAGATTGCTGCTACCCTGCGTGACACGGTGGCAGAAATGTCTAGTATTGCTCTCTTGGCCGCAACGGGGCGATACAAGGGCAATTTCTGAATCAGTAAAAAGTACTCGCCTGGTTTCGGGCTAGGTATAATATTACTCCAGACAAGCGGGCGAAAGCGGAAATCGAAAGGGGAGACCAAGTATTCTGGAGACGTATCTGGGGATACACTGCGTTGGCACATGTGTGCTTCAACAATTTATGGCTTGACTCAACACGTTACATGACTTGAAAACGTCGAAGCGTTGAATTGTACCAGGTACACCGATGCCTCAAAATCGCCACGTTCCATATCCTATCCATATACACCGAGCGTTGGTTGATCGAAAAACCACACCTCCAATTTTTCCTCATCCGGAACCGGTTTTCTGCAGTGGCTCCGTGGAAGCCAGAGATTAATCCGTAGCAAACGCCTCAACCTTATCGGCGAGGGTGGTCTCCTTGGGAAAGTTCCATTCATCGATCATGTTCCCCTCCTTGTACATAATGACCCAAGGGACCATACAGTTCGCGGCGCCTCCGACCCTAGGGGCGAATTCACCGTAGTCGGCCGAGACGAAAACAATGTCCCGGTACATTTCGGAGAGCTTCTCAATTGTTTTTCCCACGTCGTTGCATTGCGCGAGATCGGGCGATGTGATTGCGACGACGACTTTCTTGTTGCTGGCTATGACCAGATCCTGTCCATCCTTTGAATTGATGGCGAGGACAGGCATCCTGACCAGGCAAATGCAAAAGCAGGAGTTATATACCCGTTTCGAGCAAAGTTGTTCTTTAGATAGGGGAAAGGCAGCAAGCAGGATGTTTTGTGACTTGTCCCACTCATTCGGAGTCCAAGAAAAATGCACGTTGTCCCGGCGTTCACTTCAAGTTCTTCAGATTCAGCTTCCTCTCAGGACATATATACCAGTTCAAGCAATTTTATACAATGAACGTCTTTTTTTAGACGTCAAGAGTGATTGGTTCAAGGAACAATGTCGGTTCCACGTTACGAGCCGGACATGCCTGGGCATTGGGAGGTCCCAACACGCCTCGCGATTCCGCAACCCAAGATATCGAATCATGGCATGTGAAATCCTGTCTCGTGCCAAGGTTCGAAAAGTGTTTCACCAAAAAAAGAATAAAGAGACAGACACCCTTCTTCTACTTGCTTGTGTCAGCCTGTCTTTCAACACACCCTACTCAGCTCCACAAAGAAACTCCAACGTACTGTTTCCCTCAGACCAAGATTCTTTGACAACGAGCGTACTGCTCATTATCAAGCGGGCTGGTACGCACCGCCGACGTCTTGGCCAAACTGCGCAAGTAGTCAAAGTAATTCATAGAGAAGGGGTTCTTTGTCCCTACGGCCCATACCTCTGCCGTACACGCAAACACCAACAATCGTACCAGCAAGACGCCTCCGAAACACAACACCAAGCACACCACACACATACCAAATATACATTCCATGTCATTAATATTACTATGCAGCGTACCAGAAGGCCAAAGCCCAGCGAGGCCAGTCAACAGCGCCATACAATGCCCGCGATGCGAACCCCCCTCCGCTCACCACCATCAACCATCCTCGACCGTATTGCCACCTCCCCATCCTTACAACTCCTTCTCAATAGCGCCCACAACAGCCTCCCTGACCGCCTCCGCCGTCGGCATCGCGTCGCCAGCCACGCTCTTGGACACCACCTCCTGCACGACCTCCCGCGCCGCCGCAGCGACATTGATATGCTCCCCCTTGATGTAGTACCACGCGCGGCCGGCAAGAACGGTAATATGGTGCGGGAGATAGAGCACCGCGGCGATAAACGTCATGCTGCAAAGGAGGAACAGGACCGAGTCTGACCCGCGACGTTAGCATCTTCCCAATCCAACTTCTTCTCGGGCACGGAAACGCAGGCAGGGCACAGCACACGTACATATGACGCTCTTCTCCCACGATCGGAACATGTTCAGCGCAAACGTCACCTCGAACGTGTACTGCTTCCGCCGCAGCCAGCGTTGGCACTCGGCAGCCACGGACATGTCGGCGGCCCCTCTTGTGCAAATACGTAGACAACAATGGGTTTCTTCTGAGCAAGTCTCGGGTGATATATCAGCGCAGCGGGCGGCGGCAAGTCGAGCGGTGTCGCGGTCAATGTGCAGATTTCAGATTGGTTCGTGGGAGTGACTGTCCCTAAATCCAACGGCCAGGGGGATAAGATAAGCCAGGTCAGGTTCCAACTTTTGTCCCCACGCGTTGCATTAAAGTACATGTACCTGTGCCACAGGCTTGCCAGCGCCACAGCACAAGTCGCTATACAATCTGCCCCATCCCCAAATAAATCAACCCCAAGACGTTTCCATCATCCCAGTGCCATCAAGGCGACACCCAGGCTCATCCGAAGCTCGGCCCAAACGTCCGCATCCCAGTTGACCGCCATGAACATATTCCGCCTCCCTCGACGCATACCCAGAACGCATCCTCTCGCCGCACTCTCGCGCCCATTCACCCTCACGGCCCTGCGGTCGAAAAACCTCCCGCCACGCCCCAAACCCCCTCCAGACGCCGAGATCGAAGAGTCCTTCCTCAAGGGCTCCGGCCCAGGCGGCCAGAAGATTGTACCCAAATAAATAAAATCACCACACGGTGAACTTTTCTTGCTAACCCCATGCCCACAGAACAAGACCAACTCGGCAGTTCAATTGAAACATGTCCCGACGGGCATAGTCGTCAAGTCCCAGGCCACCCGGTCGAGAAGCCAGAACCGCAAACACGCGCGCGAACTGCTCGCCCAGAAGGTCGACGACTTGCTCCACGGCGAGCAGAGCCGGTCGAGCATAGTCGGCCAGGTCAAGAAGAAAAAGGCCGCCAGTGCAGCCAAAAAGAGTCGCCGCAAGTATAGAAAGTTGGACGAGGAGAGGGAGGCTGCAGGAGAAGGGGAGGGGCCAGAACATTCACCACGCGAGTCCGAGGGCTCTAGTCAGGTTCAGGGAGAGACTACTATAGAAGAACCCAAACACCCGCAAGAAAATAATAACCGGCCGTGACGCAGTTATCCTACCACCGGCAAAACTCACTGCATTCACATGTGCAACTCTGCTTTGACATCGTTACAATCTTCCATTTTAACGAGTCTAGAACGGAAAGCAAAATAAAGTATTTGGTTTGATCAACCTTAGCTCTACCACTAGGCCCCGTATTACCCATCCGGTTACAACACATGACCCATCATCCCTCTTTGGAGAAAAGACACGGCCCGCCTCCTGAACCCTATCAAAAACTTTTCGTAAATATGACACCGGAATGAGATGCTCGCGAGGCCGAGAAGGCTCTGCATCGGCCGCCACCTCCGTGATCTTGGCTTGAGTTGGTCATGGGCGGGGGGTGTTTTGGTTCTGGTGTGACTTAGAAGCACTTGCGGTGGACAATCGAGGGACCGCTCTCGTCGTACTCCTGCTTCGAGATCCACATTTGCTGGAAGGTAGACAGAGAGGCCAGAATAGAACCACCGATCCAGACAGAGTACTTTCGCTCGGGAGGAGCAATGATCTTGACCTTCATGGAAGAAGGAGCAAGAGCAGTGATTTCCTTCTGCATACGGTCGGAGAGACCGGGGTACATGGTGGTACCACCAGACTAGGGCCACGTTAGCTTGAGCAAAGACATTTAGGTAATGATTCTAAGATGCGTACCATGACGATGTTGCCATACAGATCCTTTCGCACATCAACATCGCACTTCATGATGGAGTTGAAAGTGGTGACGTGGATACCGCCAGATTCGAGACCAAGGACGGAAGGCTGGAACAGAGCCTCGGGGGCGCGGAATCGCTCGTTGCCAATGGTGATGACCTGACCGTCAGGAAGTTCGTAGGACTTCTCGAGGCTGGAGCTCTGAGAAGCAGTCTGGATCTCCTGCTCAAAGTCGAGGGCGACGTAGCAGAGCTTCTCCTTGATGTCACGGACGATTTCGCGCTCGGCAGTGGTGGAGAAGGCGTAGCCACGCTCAGCCAAGATCTTCATCAGGTAGTCAGTGAGGTCACGGCCAGCCATGTCAACACGAGCAATGGCGTGAGGAAGAGCGAAACCCTCATAGATGGGGACAACGTGAGTGACACCGTCACCCGAGTCGAGGACGATACCGGTAGTACGACCAGAGGCGTAAAGAGACAGGACGGCCTGGATAGAGACGTAGAAGGCGGGGGCGTTGAAGGTCTCGAAAACAATCTGGGTCATCTTCTCACGGTTGGACTTGGGGTTGATGGGAGCCTCAGTCAGCAGGACGGGGTGCTCCTCAGGAGCGACACGCAGCTCGTTGTAGAAGGTGTGGTGCCAGATCTTCTCCATGTCGTCCCAGTTGGTGACAACACCGTGCTCAATGGGGTATCGCAGGGTGAGGATACCACGCTTGGACTGAGCCTCGTCACCGACGTACGAGTCCTTCTGACCCATACCAATCATGATGCTGCAAACCTCCTGTTAGATGACCAGTTCCAAGGTATGGTATCGAGCGTGGTGCGCATCCAATGGCAGCGCAAAAATCGACTAGGCGATAAAAAAAAATAGATATCGTGCCGTTGTGGGAAAAAATAACTTACCCATGGTGACGGGGACGACCGACAATGGAAGCTATGGCAGAAAAGTTAGCATGTCTGATGCCATTATCATGGCGGTGGCGACGGTTGCGCGCGCCGCTCAACAAATGCTCCCACAACGAGCTACAAAGGCCATCTGGAGCTGGGAGAATACGAAGTGGGGTACTCACGGAAAACAGCTCGGGGAGCGTCATCACCGGCGAAACCGGCCTTGCACATACCCGAACTACCATCAAGTCAGCACGATAATTCGATTGAAAATAGCAATCCCATTCCTCTCAATTTGATGACCCAACTGCCCCGTCGGCTCTGGTGCTGCTCGACACGTTTGCGTGGAGGACGCAGGGTACATCGCTCGAGAGGTCGGTGAGGGAGCGGGGGTGGCAGAGGACGGCATATCCGTAGCAGAGCACAGCAGAGCTTACCCATTGTCGATGACGAGAGCGGCAACCTCTTCTGTATCGAGAAGAAACGTTAGCGATGAGACAATCACACACAAGATCAACAGTCTTGGGGATGCAGCATTGCGAGGCGAGGCTGCGTAGTTGCGTGCGACGTACCCTCCATGGTGGCTGATTAAGGTAGAAAGCTGTTTGTACAGAAAAAGAGTACTGTTTAGTACAAGAGCAAACAAGAGCGAAATATTAGGCGTTTATGGATGAGGCTCACGAGATAAGGGAGATGCGAAAGTGACGAAGCAAGCGTTGAGGAAGAACCGGGAAAGAGACTCGGTGGTGGAAAGATTTGGTGGTAACTGGGGGTGTGAGGTTGAAGGAGGAGGAAGAGTGGGCATGATAAGTGGAGGGGAGAAAGGAGGGCAGCCTGACGCCTGGCACCGCAGAGCTGGGCCGGGGCCAGGGGAGCGAGCATCTACTGTCTGGTTCAACTGGTGCTAGCACTGGCCCACTGGCTCTTTGGCGCAGTGCTCGTTGTCAGCTCCCTCGCTCCCTCGCCCACGCACCGCGCACCACGCAGCGCCTGCTCCACCAGCCGAGACCATCAGCGCCAAACGACCAGTAGCTGTCTCTGGTAGCAGTTCGAGCGGCCCCCTTGCCCAGCCGCGGTGCCGCTTTAACGGTGCTTGATTGGCTGGTGGTGGTGGCTGGGTCTGGGTGCGCGCCAGACGACGGAGCCTCCATTCTCACCATCGGATGCTGCTCGAGAATGAGTCGAGCCGTCGTCGTCTTCGCCGTCGTCACCGCACAAACACTGTACATATTCCAACGGAGCCAACTGAACCAACCGCTCTGGGCCCCAGCCCTTTTTTTGTCCTCACGTCCAAGATCTCTGCGGAAGATTGGCAGGGATGAACATCATACGCCTTTGTGCTTCACCAAACATTGATCCCCGACACCTGGCACAATCCACGGCACGGCCGCCTGACACCTCTTGCAGCTGTCCCACACGTCATGTTGGCAGTTGCTGAGCGAGCGCGCGGTCAAAGATTCCTCGCTCCTCCATCCCCATATTAAACGCTCAGCCACACAGCCTTGCGTCGACCTACCCACCGTTTCAACCACCGTTTACCAAGTGCTGAACGTGGGAGGCAAAAAGTCAAAAGTATTCCATATGCCATAGTACATTAGTATGTACTTCTTGATGGGCAAATATGCTGCCACGGATTGTATTCCTCCATCCGTTAACATATTCGGAACCGACCTAGGTGTGCTCAGTTGCTCAAACCACAATCCACCCAGACGCCAGCGCGAACCAACACATCACCGGCTCACAGGGGAAATACCCGCTACCGCACCCATTATATTGTCGCTAGCACGAACCGCTAGGCGGGGAGAGAGCTCTCCCAGATTGCCTGCGTCGTTCGTCACCCCTGGTACGGAGTAGCAGCTCGTCATAATCCTGGTTCCATACTGGAAAATTGGCCTGTGCCTCTTGTCCGCCAAATACGAACGAGGTGCTCCGAAACTGTCGCTGTTTCCTACTCAAGCTCCTACTCATGAATTGCTTTCTTCAGTCAAGCAGCTTCTGAAAATCATCAAACCGTTCGTCATCACTAATCTCGGCCCCGGACGCCGCATCATCCGCCAGGACTAAAAGACCACGAGAATTGTCTGCCGTTGTCTCAAGGTCGTCCAGCTCATAGTCAAGCACGGCATTCTGATGTGTCTATGAGCAACTAATCGGCGCTTTCTTTGGGTTCCGTCTTACCATAAGTTGCAGTGCAAGTCCCGTTGGTCCAGGAATAAGGTAACAAATGTACCCGGTTCCCGCAAGGGAGAGAAAAGCAAGGATACAATATATTGCGTACATCATTTTCGAGAGAACGTCGGATATCGGCTGGCTGACACTGAAGTTGCTATTCAGCCACGGAATTGAGACTTCTTTTATACTTCCTTTTCCAGTGCATCTAAAAGGACGGGTTTTAGTTTGGCTAGCTGGCTTCTATTTTGAAGCTTACAAGCTGGGCTGAACCTTGTAATACAAGGGCCGGATTGGACATGATGATGGCGATTATGTCCGTCGCCAACAGCGCGGTAGTGTTGCTACTAAGCCTGGGCCGCTTGAAGGCTGTCGGAGCACAATGCAGCACGGCATTGACGCCGGCCCCTTGCCAGCATCTGTGTCAGCAACACATGCTGCACATCCCAAGAAAGGGTGTACGTACTTGAAAGAACATGGTCACGGTAGTCACGACAGCACGCCCAATCTCATCCGTACCACGAAATAGCGACTCGATCGTCACGAACTGCAACTTGAACGCGTTCCAAGCTGTCTGCTCCTGCAGGTGTAGAAAAATGCTCCGTCACATACTCTGTCAAATAACGACTAGGCTTTGATTTGGAGAAACAGTTTCGGCCAAGAAGCCCCAGAGCAAGGTATCCCAGACAAACGCCAAGCTCAAGAATAGCAGTCATTCACCATTTCTTAGTTTAGTTAGCATTGAGCTCGCTACGGTCATCTTCGTCCGCATCGAAACCACATACATCAGTGACTATACAACCCACCACGTCTTTCCATTCATTCAGTCTCGATATGCTGGCAGTGTGTCGCGTATATCGACTCCGCGCCTAAAGAGGCCAGTTTCAAGAAGGGCAAAAATTCTAAACACATCAAAACGTTAAATAACGCCTCAAGGTATATAAATGAGACACAAAAGACAAAAAAAGCATATGCCCTACCTACCTATGAGTACATACTTAGGTAATTAGGTATGTATGCCCAATCACAAGATAAACGCTAGGAGAACTCAAGCTCAGTTTTAATATAAAGTCAGAGGTCCAGTGATGACATGGAATACAGTCATATCTGCGAGCCTAGCCAGCAATTACCCTGTAGCGAGTCATTCCGCGGCATCTCCCCGGTTGCTGTATTATCTACACCTAATCCCGACAGTGAGTCACTTGCATAAACTATATCTGATATGTAAGGTCTACTTCCATGCAGTGGCTGAGGCCATCGTGAGATATAGCCTTTGCCAAGCGTAATCATGCCGCGCTATGCCGTAGTCATGAACCATAGCTTCTCACATATTACAATACGTGTTTGTGCAGCGTTTATTGTATGTGATGGTTCTATGGTTTAGGTTCGGCCAGGCACACAGTGTTGATCCGCCTTTATTGGGCCTTGCTTGATACAGTGCTTGCACAAATAGTACGATAGGTTAATTGGACCAGGATTCATAAACTACATGTAATAAAAGAAACAGACTAACCACACTAGAACACCGTTTCGAAACGCCGTTTCCTACGACCGTCGACGAGGCTGTCGGACACGGCCACAATCCTCGCAAGAGCAGCAAGAGCACCATTCCCTATCGGGAACACCACTGGTGCTAACGACAAGAAAGACTGGACTCTTTGTTCTCGTTCTTTTCTCGTTTTCCCAGCTTGGAAACGCTGCGGCCGCCCCGAATGACGGGCTACCCGGGAAAAAAAGGGGGCGGCGTCGTCAGCATTGCTGGCGGAGGCGGGGATACACGTAATGGACGCCGTACGGTACGGGATTTGTCTCGGGTGTAAAGTCTTTATGCTGCTGCCTTGATGATTTGCGGTGTTCGCGAATGGCCTCGGTCGCTGGACGTGGCATTGATTGGGCAGATTGCAGTTTCGGCTCCCGGCCAAGGACGTAGCCTGAAGCCTCCCTGTATGGATGCAAATGTCACCCTGTGAGGTTTCTGTACAATCGCGGCCTAATGCCTGCCAAGATAAGATGTCCAGATCCGTGTATTCCGCGAGCAAAGACATGAGCAGGCTGCTTGAAACCCCCACAATCCCAGTTACGCTCCACATGCATCCATGTTGCCTGCGAAGGCGCAACCCCGAGGTGCTGCTATTTTGAGCCCAGGCTTCCATTGTGAAGCCTGATATCATGATGCATCTTCTGTAGATGCGGGCAGATCAAGGGCCGTGGCAAACTGGGCCAGGTCGGCAAGGAGGGGTATGGCGGGGTAAGTACTTTTTTTTTCCATCCTCTGGTCCCTGACTCCCTAAGTATGCAAGCTCCTCGCAAAGCAGAGCAGTCCGTGATAACGCCTGCAAGAAAATGATATACAGGCCAACGAAGCTATTCAGCACTCGTAATTCAGTAGTAACTCGCTTTAAGCAGCGCATCTCCGTCACCAAGATCTGCTCCGTTGGCCGCAATGTGCCCCACACTCGACCCCACCCGCACGAGTCCCCTCATGAAGCTTCCAGAATGAGCATCATGCTTCCATAGAAAAAAAAAATCCAAGCGTAGCCATCCAAGAAAAACCAACGTCCAACATTGAAACTTGCGCAAACACAATCCTTCCCATACTCAAAACAACTCATCCGCTATTTTTTTTTAAAAAAAGACCAAAATCACAAAGATGGCCCAAGACCCCCGTCTAACCGAACTCCTCCGCTGGTCCGTCGAGCACTCCGACGTGACGCTCGACGACCCCGCGGCCGCCGAAACCGCCGCCTCGCAGCCCTCGCGGTCGCAGCTGACGCCCGAGATGATGGCGGCCCTCATGGGCGGCCCCTCGGACGCGGACCTCATGAAGGCGGCCATGGAGCTCATCACCGCGCCCGACGCCGACGTCAGCCTGGAGAACAAGCTCATCGCGTGGGACAACTTCGAGCAGCTGATCGAGTCGCTCGACAACGCCAACAACATGGCCAACCTGGGCCTGTGGACGCCGCTGCTGGAGCAGCTCGCGCACGCCGAGGCCGACCACAGGAAGATGGCCGCGTGGTGCGTCGGCACCGCGGTGCAGAACAACGAGAAGACGCAGGAGAGGCTGGTGGCCATGGGCGACGCGGGGGTGCCCGCGCTCGTGGCCGTCGCGCTGGGCGCCGCCGAGAGGGAGGACGTGAGGAGGAAGGCTGTCTACGCGCTGAGCTCGGCGTGCCGCAACTACCAGCCTGCTATGGACGTGTGCGTCGAGGAGCTGGGCAAGAGGGGGTTCGGGGAGGGCGCTAGGGTTGACGCGTTTGACATGGACGCCGTGGATGCCGTTATTCATGCGTTGAGGGAGAAGGCCAAGGGTGCGTAGGGGGTGCGAGGGAATGGTTTTTGGGTGGGTGCATTACATGGAGTTTTTGGGGCTTTTTGACAACTTGTTTTTTTTTTTTGGCGTTGGGTATCAGGTCAAAGATATAGGGATAGACGGGCTGATGAGGAATAAGAGCTTGGGCTGCTCATGGTAGCCCTGCGTTTTTATTTTATGATACAAAAATGTTATACATGTCTATGCCACAACGCGTTTCTCCCAGAATTGCTCAAGTTTGATTATACACGGCGGCTTTTTGCGGGCTACATTTAGCGCGTTGCCTTGCCGTAGAAGGGGAATCCCAAGGCCTCCATCAGTAAGCGTCCCTGTCGGTCAGACGTGCCGGTTGTGTGGATAAAGATGTCGCATCCAGGCATCAGCTTGGGCGGGTACATCTGCATACACAAAGAATTAGCATGCTGCGGGCCCAAGAAGGCACATCGTGTCAACTTACGTCGTAGTTGAATTCTATCTCTGGGAAGTAGGCCATCCAAGCTGGCTTCATGCCGAATGCCAAATTACCCGAATCGTCGCCGGTGGAGGCCTTGATGCCCGGCCAATCCTTGATCTTTGGCAGGACCAGCGTCACCAACTTGTCGACAAACTCGTACGCCGCACCGCCGCGAAGCGTCACCTTGGCGCCGGCTTTGTCGCCCTTGCGGACACCCCACTGGATAACATGGTGCTTGACGGTGGTGACCTCGGGGTAGTCACCGCTGATGGCCTGGACCACAGCACGGGCGACGTGCAGGTATTCCTTGTTCTGGGCGGCATTGGGGGCGTACGAGTTGATGGTGACTGCCTCAATCTCGGGGATGTTGTTCCAGTCAATGTTGCGCTCCAGTATGCCGAGTCTTGAGGAGCCGCCGCCACGGGGACCTCGGCTGGGTCTGTTCTTATGGTAGGGCGAGGAGCCGTCCCATTGCCTCAAGGTGCCCTTTTGGGAAACAACTTGCTCGGTGCCGGGGGGAGTGTGTTGGTAGGTCATGGTCAACAGGTCCGGGGCGATGGTGCTGTCGTAGGTATGCTTGAGTCGCGGGAAGTTGAAGGGGCCGGGAACAAAATCTCGAGCGGTTGGATCAGACGCTGGGGGTGTTTGAACAGGATGCAGAGGACCGCGGTAGTACTTGGGGGGGTGGTACTGGTATCTTTGAGATTGTCAGTTTACCTTGTCCGTCTCGTGAGGGAAGCAGATGGTTGTTGGAAGAGCAGACACGTACCGGTTACCGGGAAGTCTCCTCTCCTTAGCGCTCAGCTTCTCGGCTTGATTGAATGCGTCAATTGACTTCTGGTCAGGCGCGGGCGATGTGAACGTCGTCGTTGACTCGAGATCGCTCAGATGGTCATTCTGGCGGGGGTTGGCCTCGGCCGCGGATGCTAATCTTCTCACGCATGAGGGTGTCTTCCTCAGAGAAAATTGTCCTTGGCCTAGTGTTTTGACCAGGCGGGAACCTTTGCGCACCCCAGACATGGCGTGATAAAGAGAGTCGCGAAGCTGTAGATTGAAGCTCCCGTGATGGATGGATGGAGGTGAGCGTGGAAATTTCCATCTACTAGCTGGAGGTGGCTTGACAGTCAGCCACAGCGTCCCCTGACGTGTGGCTGTGCGGCGGCATCTCTGCTTCGGCGCCGAGTTGCAGGGAAGCAGCAAGGAAACGAGTTTCATGAACAATGGTCAGCTGTTCCTCAGTCCGGCGCTTATATTTGAGCTTCTCCCAATACTAAAATCGAAAGAATTGATAACATTGAAAAATAAAAATAGGAGCTATAGTGCCATGTTTACCGTGTGGTGGCTATCATGAGACCATTCGATCTTGGGTCAAGGGCTTCTCTTGTCAGAAACAAGGCTCCAGCTGAAACTATGCGTCACAAGCCAGACAGCTAGCCATTGAAACTGTGTGACTGGTGCTGGTGTCTCAGGGTGATGCATTCACTGCAGTCGCGGCAGAACTGCTGCTCATTGTACTCGGTAGTACAATTGATTAAAGTACGGAACACGGCGCTGCCTACCGTAAACAAGGCGTGGTGCCAAGTTGAACACGTTGCGGCACAGAGACTTATCGACAGTGTGGTTTCCAGGACCTAGCAAAAAGAGTAAGCGGCATGGGCATGGGTTGTGACGCAAGCAATGGTGGCCGTCTCACCGGGACAAGGATGCCTACTCGCAACTCAGGTCGCACGCTTTTCTCCTCGCAATAGTACTAGACCCCGAAATGCCGCGAGGCGGTTGATAGTGCCAGACTCGCGTCAACAGCATGACGATGTATGGCCCGCCGCCAGGCACCAGGGACCGGCATGCGGACATGTAGTCGACATGTAGTCGACATGTAGACGAATTGACGGACTCGGGCCGATTTGACACCAGCACTTGGCGTCCGGTGCCTGTTCAATGTTCAATGTTCAATGTTGACCAAGATGCTGCACGCCTGCCAAGGTCCTGTCCACCCCGCCAACCCACTACGCGACCACTGAAGCTGGCGCACTTGAACATTCCAGACTCCAGATGTCCAATCGTCGAGTTCCACCTAATGCCAGGATTGGGTTGGCAGGCCAGATAGAGCATATCTTCTCGCAACCGCCCAGGCAGAAGGTCATCTCTTTATCCTAGCCTCCATTCGAATCATCATCCTTCGTCCTACTGCTGCTCGCCGCCCATCTCGTCCCTCTCTAGTGACAGCCTCTGCATTCTGCCCGGACCACTTCCGCCGAGCACCTCCGACGACCATCGTTGATCTCCCCCGCCAACCGCCCCAAGTCAACACATTCGGGGCTCGACGTCGCCGCCGCCCCAACAACTTTGAAATACCCCCTCGCCAGCCTGAAATGGGAATCAGAGCTCCATTGCCGTCTCGCTAACCACTTGCGAGGCCGCTGCGTCGCCCGAACCTGTCTCCCTCCTCCTTCCCTGCTTCTCATGCTGTCGTGGTCGTGGCCGGCGTCCTAAGCACTTCCGCGACAGCCTCCCACCATGAAAGAGTTCCCTCGAAAGTTTCTTAGCCTGCGCGACAAGAATGCCATCCACCGTCGGAGCAAGTCTGTCCCTCCGGGACACAAGGACAAGGTACATCTACATGATGGCTCTACAGACTCGGCCCTGCGGCCTGGACTCCTGTGGGGTTTGTTGTTGACATTCAATGCCATTGTTCTCAATCCAAGACATTCAGGCCCCCCGACATACCAATGCTACTACATTCTTGTCCCAAAGGCTGAATGCTGACCATGTCCAAAACCCCAGGCGCGCCCGCTCTCCGCAGACACTTTCCGAGCCATATTCAAGATGGACGGCTCGAAACAAAACTTGAAATCCGACGCCGACGAGAACGACCCCGATGTCACCAAGGTTGGACTGCACCGCCAAGCAAATAGAAACAGCTACTGATGGTGACAATGTCAGATTGAACTTGTTCAGCATCACCTAGAGAAAATGCACATATCAAATGTCACAGCCGACGATATTAAGGACATCTTGTCGACAAACATTGCCCCAGACGACCCCGAGCAGACTGCCGAGTTTATCAAGTTGGAACAGAAATCCGCTTCAGGCATTATTTTGCCCTACGACCCCACAGTGCACATGCTTGGTGCTGAGAATCGAGGCAATGTCACATGTTACCTAGATTCACTACTATTCGCCATGTTCGCCAAACTCGACGCCTTCGAGTGTATGCTCAAGTCAAGCTTCCCGGCAGATGACGCGAGACTAAAACTTGCAACATTGCTGCGTATATGGGTCAACATGTTGCGATCGGGAAAGCTCATTCGTACCGACTTGGTGAGTACACACCAGGGCCGCGCCTGATTGCCCACATGACAGTTGCAACGCATCGAGTAGCTGATCTGCTTCAAGACAAAATTAATCCAAGAATCACTAAGCGATTGTGGGTGGGCCGATGCCAAACTCTTGGAGCAACAGGACACTTCCGAAGCTTTCGCTTTTCTCACCGAGACATTGCAGCTTCCGCTTTTATCCTTGCAGGTCGACCTCTTTCACCAAGGCAAAGGTGACAAGGATGACCACAAGGTGGTATACGAGCGACTGTTGAATTTAGCTATTCCCTCGGATCCCGATGGCAAGGGGATTAAGCTTGAGGATTGTCTCGAGGAATATTTCAACGCCAGGGTTGATGTTTTGCGAGATCATGAAGAAGCAAAGAAAGGCAGCATGGATGATAAGGGGGATGGTTCACCTCTCCTGAGCCAGAATACTATCCGGCTCATTCGGTCAGAAGAAGCAGGCACATCACCTCTGGTTGCCTCGCCGGTTGATCTTACGCCGTCACAGCAATCTTTCGGCAATCCCATGGAAAGAAGCATGTCCGAGGCGTCAGCGTCCCATAGCGTTTATCGGGTTCATTCCCAGGATGGCCCGTCGCACGAGAACCAAGGTACAGAGGAAGGCTCGCCAACTAGTCCCAGCGCGCGGATAAGATCTACTAGTGTTATTCAGCGTGTTGTGTTACACGATGATGGCCAGCCAACGGGCACCGAGGGTGAAGTCATGAAAAAACGAGCCAAGCGCAAGGGTTCAACGGTCGTCAAAGCTGTCACAATTCCTGCTTGGCAATTCTTTCGACTGATTCGTAAGTCTAGGTACTTCGTTAGCTTTGATGACGTTCTTGTTTAACACTTTACAGCCTGGCATGCTTTGACGCCTAACGAGCCTAGAAGCGACTCTGAGGTTGCCTTAAATTTCGACCAGAGACCAGTGGTTGGTATCTGCCTCAAACGCTACGCCATGACAGAATTTGGACAAGCACAACGACACAACACTTTTATTGACATCCCCGACAGTCTACGCTTGCCGCATTTCATGCTTGCCGGGGGCCCCAACTTGGAGGAAGACCTCTATGGGCTCAGCACCGAATACAAACTCGTGCTTCAGTCCGTGGTCTGCCATCGAGGAGATTCCCTCCACAGCGGCCACTACATTTCCTTTGCCCGAGTTGCCCCGAAGCTTCTGACTGGAAACCGACGGCACGATTTTGACCCTCCTCCAGATTATGAGGAGGCGCAGTGGGTGAAATTCGATGATTTGGAGGCGAAAAGTCGCATCACCTACGTGGATGACATCAAGCAGGCGTTAAAGGTCGAGATGCCCTACCTCCTGTTCTACCAAATTGTCCCCATGGTCGACATGCCCCGCGCATCAACAGACGGCACAGAGACAAACCCTCCGTCATACAATGAATCTAAAACGAGCATGGAGCTCAATGGCGACTTGTCGTCTTCTGCATTCGGCCGATTGACGGGACATCACAGAGACGATCTCCAAGCCATTGACCTGGGCCCGAGAAGCAAACCCCCTAGCATTCGGTTATCTGCAGATATGGATCGTCCAGCCAGAGGAACCTTTGACCCTTCCTGGGTCACATCCCACACAGGCTCCACGCCCAATGCCTCCCGCCGCGAAAGCATGGCCAACACGGAATCGCCAGCCGTCACCCCAGGCGGTGCTTCGCCCGTCATGGCACCCAGCGACGAGCCTACCGCCTCGAGATTGTCCCGTGCTGCCTCCCGCTTCGCACTGGGTCGACAGAGCCGGCCGGAGAGCCAATCGGGCGAGGGAAGACTCAGCTTCTCCATGACCCGTCTAGGCGGACTCATGAAGTCCAGCAAGGAGCCGCTCATTGAGCCTCCCCCGTCCAACGGATTACAAACGTCTGCTTCCAACTCTACAGCCCCCATTTCAGAAACCTCGGCCAAAGGCCCCGACTCGCCTGTCGACGGGGAGAAGCACGGTGCTACCCCGCAGACACAGAAACATAAACACCGTGGAAAGACAAAGGACAAGGACAAGGCGGAAAAGCAAAAGACCGGGGAGCAGCCCGAGCGAGAATGTTCAGTCATGTGATTTAAATCTGATAGAGGTAGAACGTGCATGCATGGCGTGTGGCAAACAGTACATGACTATATGAAGCAAGAGAAAAGGACACCGTTGGATGAGCGACATTGGGACTTTTAGATACCAGGCGTTTATGAGCAGTGCTGAGGGGAACTCCTACAGACCTACTAGCATACATACATACACAGAGCATATTACAAAAACATTCGTGTCTATTTTTCTTCTTCCCTATACAGCGAACATGGCACCTGTGTGGCAAGCTACAATCCCTCGTAGCCCCGAGATGCATCCACGTACAACCAAAGATATAAAAAAAAAAAAGAGGAAATCGCCACCTCATGCTCGCGTGAGTCGGCGAACGCCCGACTAATGATGCACCCAACTACTCGAGGCCTGCGACGTTTGCGCCTCCCATAATATACACGATTACAGACCAAGCAAAAGCCTGCAATCATACGATACGCCAGCCTCTTTGTGGCGGTTTATTTTCTTTTCGTCTCCAAGTCTCGATGAAGAAATCCCTTGTGGAAGAGCTCAACGCTAATTGCTAAGGAACTGGAATATCCGGAGTACATGATTCGAAATGGTGAAGTGAGAAACGGGGTAATAAGACAGAGGGTCAGGAAAAT